CCCGACCAGGACTAGAACCCAGTGTGCCGGCGCCGCAAGGCAGAGGATTAGCCTATTGAGCCACGGCGCCGGCATAAAAGTTTATTTTTTAAGGTAACATGAAAAAAGTTTGAATTACTGCTAGATTTGACCTTATAACACAATAACTCTCGCAAAACTCTAATTCATGATGAGTAAATTTTGCCAAGTTGTTATTTGGTTTCCATGGACAGATTGGGATTGTTGTCATCATTTTCCCATTGGGCTTTCCCAAAAAACCCATTTGGCATCTTTTCTCAGGACTAAGATGTTCAGTATCATAGGGTCTTAGGGTCTCATGCTGTGTCAGTTCAACTAGACCATAGGCTGGATTTGCTTGGGAACACTTACCTGATTGGGCCTCACTTAGAACTGGCAGTTTCCATGTCACTAAGCTATATAAGAGGGAGCAGTATTTCCAAATGAGAACATAAAAATATCTACCAAGCATTCTGCTGGTTCCTTAGGGGTGGGAAGTATATCATGATTTGATGTTTCCTTTGGAGGGGATTCTCTGATGTGCACCAGACCACAGTACCCCCCAAAACTTCACTGAAACCACATGTCCCTGAGACTTTGTAGGACTTACCTTACTTTCTCTGAAGTGTTTCTTTCACTAAGACTCCAATGCCATTTGCCACTGTACTCATCTGATCTAACACTATTGATGAAGAGAACCAATGTGATATTCTATAGAATGTCCTGATAGTATAGGTTCATTTGGATCATATTATAAGAGGATGAGAGCAAGAACGGAGCCATCGGCCGGCGCCGTGGCTCAATAGGCTAATCCTCCACCTTGCGGCGCCGGCACACCGGGTTCTAGTCCCGGTTGGGGCGCCGGATTCTGTCCCGGTTGCCCCTCTTCCAGGCCAGCTCTCTGCTATGGCCAGGGAGTGCAGTGGAGGATGGCCCAGGTGCTTGGGCCCTGCACCCCATGGGAGACCAGGAAAAGCACCTGGCTCCTGGCTCCTGCCAGGATCAGCGCGGTGCGCCGGCTGCAGCGGCGGCCATTGGAGGGTGAACCAACGGCAAAAGGAAGACCTTTCTCTCTGTCTCTCTCTCTCACTGTCCACTCTGCCTGTCAAAAAAAAAAAAAAAAAAAAAAAAAAAAAAAAAAAAAAAAAAGAACGGAGCCATCAAAAAGGAGGTACCTTTCTCTGAAGGGAGGAGAGAACTTCCACTTTGGCTATGACCCTGTCTGAATAAGATCGAAGTTGGCAAACCCAAAAGGCTTCCACAGCCTTGGCAACTCATGACTAGAGCCTAGGGAGATTACTGACGCCATAAACAAGAATGTCAAATTGTTAAGTCAACAACAGGAGTCACTGTGTACTCACTCCTCATGTGGGATCTGTCCTTAGTGTGTTGTCCAATGTGAAGTAATGCTATAACTAGTACTGAAACAGTAATTTACACTTTGTGTTTCTGTGTGGGTGCAAACTGATGAAATCTTTACTTGATATATACTAAATCGATCTTTTGTATATAAAGATAATTGAAAATGAATCTTGATGTGAATGGAATGGGAGAGGGAGCGGGAGATGGGAGGGGTGTGAGTGGGAGGGAAGTTATGGGGGGGGAAAGCTGTTGTATTCCATAAACTGTACTTTGGAAATTTATATTTACTAAATAAAAGTTTAATAAAAGAGGATGAGAGCATTATATATATATATGTATATATAATTAGATATATGTATTATATATACATACATACACATACTCACATATGCAGTTATACTCATTATAAATATATACTCTTGCACATTCCAAGTGAATAGTTTCTTATCTACCTTTTACAAAATTTTTATTTATGTATTTATCTGAGAGGGAGAAGAAGAGGGAGAGTTCCTGTCCACTCATTCACTCCTCCAAATGCGTGCAATAACTGTAGCTGGGGCAGGCTGAAGCCAGGAATGAAGAATGTCTGGGTCTCCTACATGGGAGACAGGGACTCAACTACTTAAGCCATCACCTGCTGCCTTCCAGGGTGTACATTATCAGGAAATGAAATCAGGTGTTGGGACTGGACTTGCACCTAGGCACTGCAATATGGTTTGTGGACATCCCCAGCACCTCTTAGCTGCTAGACCAAATACCCATCCCTGATTTATCTTTCTGATGGGTATGGAAAGAACCTAATTGACAAGTGAATGATCACATACTATACAACAGAGGGTATATTCATGTATTTCAGCCAATATCCCACATCTAGAACAGCAGCTGAAATTAGTGCAACCACTTGGCTGAGTTTTCAATAGTGCTCTTTTATCTTTCAGTATCTTTCTAGTTTTCACAGATATCAGAGTGATGGAGCATTAAGTTAAATTATGAAAGGTACAAACACCATTGTGCTCTTTAGGTTTTTAGTGGTAGCATTAACTTCTGTCATCTCCCTGGGGTACAATGTTGATTTGGGTTTACCACCTTAGCCAGGGAGTGGGAAAGTTTCTTTTTTCTTTAATATTATTTATTTATTTATTTATTTGAGAGGTAGAGTTACAAATAGTGAGAGGGAGAGACAGAGAGAAAGGTCTTTCTTCTGCTGGTTCACTCCCCAAATGGCCGCAATGGCCAGAGCTGTGCCGATCCGAAGCCAGGAGCCAGAAGCTTCTTCCAGGTCTCCCATGTGTGTGCAGGGGCCCAAGGGCTTGGGCCATCCTCTACTGCTTTCCCAAGCTATAGCAGAGAGCTGGATGGGAAGAGGAGCAGCCGGGACTAGAACTGACACCCATATGGGATTCCAGCGCAGCAGGTGGAGGATTAGCCTACTGCACCACAGCGCCGGCCCTGTGGGACAGTTTTAGAGGCTTTCACTAGACTTTCTCATTAGCACAACTCTTAAACCACAGGCCAAGAAATGAATGGTGGTTCTACCTACTCCCAAGTGTGTTCAGTTGAATTATTTATTCTGGATGTGGAGAGCTGTGAATTTAATGGATCACACTGTGAGATGTGGGGCAGACTCCATTTATTATCTGAATCCCCTAAGCCCCTACTATGAAAGGTAGACTATAGTTTTACTCTGGTCCCTGAGTATCAATGTCAACTTGGACCTTGTGTCCCATGGTTCTCAGGATACTTAAGTGTTCCCCTTCCCCAGTGTAGCATTATCCAAGTCAATGGCCATAGAGGAAGCAGTGCCCTACATACTTGCAGCGGTATTATAAAGTCCTTTTTCTTGAGGATCCAGCCTTTCTTCTGGTCAGTCATTTCTTGGTTTGAAAAATTAGCCAGGGAGACTTGGCAAGAGATTACAACCTTTTATTAAAGTTGCTGAGCTGTATCTTTTGATTATCCAAAATCAAGATCTTTCTGAGATAGCTTGAGAAATACTCTTTTTTAAAGATTTATTTATTTATTTGAAAGTCAGAGTTACACAGAGAGAGAAGGAAAGGCAGAGAGAGAGAGAGGTCTTCCATCTGCTGGTTCACTCCCCAATTGGCCTCAACAGCCGGAGCTAGACCAATCCAAAGTCAGGAGCTTCTTCCAGGTTTCCCACATGGGTACAGGGGCCCAAGGACTTAGGCCATCTTCTACTGCTTTCCCAGGCCATAGCAGAGAGCTGGATGGGAAGTGGAGCAGCCAGGACTTGAGCCAGTGCCCATATGGGATGCCGGCACTACAGACGGCGGCTTTACCCACTATGCCACAGCGCTGGCCCCTTGAGCAATATGCTTATTGGCTACCCCTTCCCTTGCTGCTGGGGATATTCTGTTGATCATTCTCCAGATATCTCTGTAAGTACCCATCACACCTGCCACTTACGATAATTGTGCCCATTTGCTTCTGACATTGCAGCACTGCCACTAGGCCTCTTCTCTTCTATGCCATGGTTGCTAGCAAGCCCACCTATTCAGCAGCCTCCAGAGCTCCAACACAGCTTCTTTGAGATGCTAGAGCCCCCTCACCAATCTATTCCTCATCAGTTTGGTAAATGTGGACTCTGTGCCTTCCTGGGTGCCTTACTCCTTAAGAAAAAAACAAGTCTTATTGTTTTGTAGAGTAATATCCATAAAATATAAATAACCCGTTTGATCTGCTAACTACAGGATTTTTTCTCCTGTTACACATTAAAATGAATGTTAGCTAAAAAGCTTTCTACCCATCTACCTCCTGAAATACTCCTGTATACACAGAGGAAGTTTTGAGAAGTACTAAAACAGGCAAAAGGGGATGACTAAGAAGTAGGAAAACACTCTAGCCTCCCTCACATCTGCAGCTCCTGGTCTTATTGAGCTCATTCTGACTTCTGAAGTGGCCACTCCAGCCACTCCCAAGCCTCCCTCTTACTCTACAGTGTCCACCGGACTTTAGCACACATCTACCCTTTGACTAGTTTTAGGATCATAGGAGGTCCTTAAACCCACCCATCTTTCAGCTCCTGTGCTCTTTAATTTAAAGAGATTATGGAAAAAAACATCTGTTACTTATGAGTCAGAAATCTACACACATCCAACCAAAAGTAACCACAAGGGGTATGTTTTTAGCCTAGGATACCTGAATCCCATATCAGAGTGCGTGGGTTAAACATTCAATGCTACCTCTGGACTCCAGCTTCCTGCTAACGCAGACCCTAGGAGGCAGTGGTGATGGCTCAAATGATTAGGTCCCTGCCACCCACATGGAAGACCTGGATTGAGTTTCCACCTCTTAACACTGGCCCAGCCCAGCCCCAGCCATTGCAGGCACTTGGGGGAGGGAACCAATGGGTGGGGACATTCTCTTTCTCTGTCTTTCCGCCTCTCGAATAATTCAGAAAATAGACAGAAAATGTTCACTTTGTTGGAAGGAAATTTTCCTGGATAATTCCATGTATTTTAAATATCACAGACATAATCTTATCCTCATTTATTCATGACCAAAAATACTTTGATAATAATTTATACTCCCTAGCTGCAAACAACCACATCTATTTTGACATCGAAAAGTGCAAAAAGACAAAACTCAAATTCTGATTGCAGAGACAAAACAATGCGACATTCTAAGGTTTTCTGATAATTTTATTGTTTGTTTCACTTTTGATGTTTTTCTTCCAAAAGCCTACAGAATTGTTGCAAAATATCTGAAGGCTAATCTTAACATTAAACAGAGATTAACCACTAAATATAAAAAATAAAATTCCCAGCTAATTCATTGAACTTGGTGGAATTTTCCTGAAATATGACAGTTAAATTGATCTGCAAAAAAAAGTGTTTGCAATGAAAATGGGTAACATCAATCTCTTTTAGGAAATATTTTAAAACACTGTGTGTGCTACCAAAAAAAGTTAATCAGGATATGAAAATTTTCAACTCACAATCCCCCAGACTAAATACAAGTTAGCTTTTAACCTGAAGTCAGAATTGCAAAATCTGTAAAAATAAAAATATTTCTATTGCTGTCAGCAATCTACTAATAAATTCTACAAGTTCTTAAAGTCTTTTCAGTAAAATGGATCTTGGCAAGCTCCCTGCTTGAGCGGCAAGTAACTTGTGAAGCTGGACTCCATGTGTGGACCGAAGCAAGCCGCATTGGTAGCACTGCTCCATTTTGAAAATCATCTCCAGCACAGAAGAAAGTTCAAGTTCAGCAGTGACCTCCTTCAAGGCAGCTCTGATTGCATAGCTCCAAGTCTGCATGAGTGATCCCTGAGCAGGTGCAACTCTCAGACAGTAAACTGGAAACAGATTAAAGATGAGAAGGAAGTAGAGGTGAAACATTGCAGTTTACAGATGTTATCCTGGATAAAATGTCAAGAGCTTTGGGACCAGAAATGGACAGTATGCAAAAATGAGGCAACTATATATCAATAACAATGGGAATTCGAGATGCATCAACCACAAGAGAAGGGGAACTATTTAAAACTCCTGGACAGTACTCCTAGACATTTCTACTCTCTATTACATACCTACTTCTGAATAATCACATTTGATACTAAAAATGATGCCTGAGATATCTTCTAAGGTTCTCCAGATTCTTCCAAATCAAAGAGAGGTCACATAATACCTAGTACTATTGGGGATTAGTCTGTATTTCATAATTATTTGAAAATTGGTAACCTATGTTTGGGTTCAATGATAGCTGTATTAATTTCATTATTTTTATTAATTAAAATATTCAACTCTCCAAATAGGATTAATTATTGGAGCATATTGCACAACTCAAACTGGAGCACTGGACTCTTGGAATCTAATCATCCATAATGAACTATCTCACTGACCAGTTCTCTCTCAATGAAAGGTCACCAGGGTGTTTCAATGCAACCAGAACATTTCAGAGGGTAAGGTCTTCAGGGAGGCCTCACATATTTGTAGAATTCAGAATCATTTTTTCATTAGCAAGCCCTGTACTTGTCCACTCTCTGACACACAGTTGTCCAGTTTGGGTAGCTGTTGAATCCCAGTGAAGAACTGCCATTCTGCCTCTGAGTGCTCCTCTAGGGACTTGGAAATGGACAGTAGTGAGGTTCCTTCCGGCCATCTGCCAGGCAGGGGACTCCAGGCCTCCTGGGGTAAGTCTGACTAGCAATTTTAAAGAATTCTTCTGCAGCATCAAGAGCAATGAGACGGTCCTGCAGCAAAGGAAAAATAATTGTCATGTTGGAAACCAAGCCTTGTGGATAGAAATATCAAACAAACAACAAAATCTACACAACAAATAATAATAAGCAAGTAGGACATTTATCAAGCTTTTCTCGCAGCCTTAGAGACACGATCCTTCACTTTGCCGAGATACAGCCCCTACTCTCGGAGCCCTTCCAGACTATTTCTCAGCCTCAGGTTCCATAAGCAGTATCTCTCACATTTCTTTGATCTACAAAGGGCTCAAAACCCAACTGCACAGCAGAATCAGCTGAAAAATACCAACTCTTGAGCCATGACCAAGCCTCAAAGGTTGAGCTGTGATCCAGACTTGGGAGAATGAAAGCTCTTATGTGGCCCCAATGCTGCTGGCCTTGGCAGCCAGCGCAGATTACTCACTTCATCCTGCAGTGGTGTTGGGGGTGTTGAGATGAAGAGGACGTGGAATAAGAGAAAAGGCAAAAACACAAAGCAAAGTTCGGACTGATGAAGAAAGGTATCTACTTACCACAACAAAGAGATATCTTTCCGAAAGCTCCCAATTTGTTGGGAAAATGTTGGTCTCTTCAGCCAGTTTTAACAACATCTCTCGAGCCTTCTTGGTGTTTTTGGAATCACTGATGGTGCTGAGTTTGGTCACAGACAACAAAGAGTCTGCTTCCTTTTGAAAACCTAAGGTAGAAAAATGTATCCCCCACGTGAAGTTGCCACTAGGAAATGACTGTTAGGGCCAGTGCTGTGGCATGGCGGGTTAAGCCACTGCCTGCAATGCCAGCATCCCATACAAGCTCCAGTTCGAGGCCTGGCTGCTCTATTTCTGACCCAGCTCTCTGCTAAGGCCTGAGAAAGCAGCAGAAAGCCAAGTACTGGGGCCCCTGCCACCCATGTGGTTGATCTGGATGAAGCTCTTGACTCCCAACTTTAGCCTGGCCCAGACTTGGCCACTGTGGCCATCTGGGGAGTGGACAAGCAGATGGAAGGTCAGTCTCTCTCTCTCTTTCTCTCTCTCTCTCTCCCCCCCCAACTCTACTTATCAAATAAATAAATAAGTCTTTTTAAAAAAGGAAATGACTGTCCTGCACTATGGTCCCTGCAGGAGATTAAGGGACCCAAGGGCTAGCATTTGGTAGAGTGGTGAAGATGCTCATTAATTGGGATACCTACACCCTGTAACAGAGAGCCTGGGTTCAAGTCCTGATTCCACTTTCAATTCCAGCTTCCTGCTAATGTACACCCTGAGAGGCAGCAGATGATGGCTCAAGTACTAAGGTTCCTGCTAGCCATGCCAGAGACCTGGATTGAGTTCCTGGCTGTTGTGGGCATTTCGGGAGCAAACCAGCATATCTATCAGTCAATCAATCAATCAATCAATCTCTCTCCCTCCCTCCTTTTCAAATAAATACATTTTAAGAAATAGAGAAGGGACCCAAGTGTGGACTCTTCACAAATATCAGAAAACTAAAGCCAAAGGCACTATTCCATGTGCTACATCCCAGCTTGCTGTGACTGGCAGGGTCCTTAATTAATATTCCTTTGATGTTTCTTCTCACTGATTTTTCTTTGTTAATTTTCCCTCAGAGTTAAGCCTCAGACAATCCCCCACTGACTGTTTGCTGCCCTTTTTATGGATCACAGCTCCTTTCCCTGTCCTTACTCCTCATCACCTCCCTGTCTGCAGAATTCCTATCTGTCTCCAACCTGCAAAGCGGTCACCTGCAGGATGCTACTACTCCAAGCTCAGGTCTCTTTCCCCGAGGCAATGTAGCTGGCTGATGAAATTACTTACTGAAGGGCAGAAAAGACTCCAGGACATAAACCTGCCTGGAATAACTTAGATGGTAAAAAGGAGACTACCAACATATATACTGGACAAGTAAAGAGGGAAGAGGTCCTATTGTGCCCCAACTAAAGCAACAGGGACTAGAAGCTTAGCACCCTATTTTTGAGTGGTTTCAGTTTTTCAAATCAGAAGGACTGAGGTTTTGAAATAGATAAATTCATTTTTGAATAAACTAAAAAATAAGCTTGTTTTGTGATGGGGGCATGTTTATTCCTAACAACCCTGGTGGCACTAATAGAAGCCATAACCTGATTTCTAACCTGATGCCACTGACGCTTTTCCCAGCCTTGGCCTTTTCTTCCTTTCACTTCAGAGATTTTCCACTGAATTCTGCTGTCTCTGACACCAGCAGTATTTCTCCCAGTTTCATCTTCTAAAGTTATAACGAAGTGGCCAATCACCTGCTCTAACTCCATCACTCCATAAAGACAGAAGTGTAAATGTAGTGTCTGTGTGACCTCCCTGCCCTGTGCTACCCTGCTCTGAGGACAGACAGAATGACACATGGCAGATGTTTACATCTCAGGCTGTAACAGCAGGATTAGACAAATACTTAATACACAATAGCCTTACTCATTGTTAACATTGCGTTTGGTTGTTTTTTTTTTTTTTTTTTTTTTTTTTTTTTTTGACAGGCAGAGTGGAGAGAGAGAGAGAGAGAGAAAGGTCTTCCTTTTGCCATTGGTTCACCCTCCAATGGCCGCCGCGGCCGGCGTGCTGCAGATGGCGCACCGTGCTAATCCGAAGCCAGGAGCCAGGTGCTTCTCCTGGTCTCCTATGCAGGTGCAGGGCCCAAGCACTTGGGCCATCCTCCACTGCACTCCCGGGCCATAGCAGAGAGCTGGACTGGAAGAGGGGCAACCAGGACAGAATTCGGCACCCCGACTGGGACTAGAACCCCGTGTGCTGGCGCCACAAGGTGGAGGATTAGCCTATTGAGCCGCGGCGCCAGCCAACATTGCGTTTTAAAACCCACGATGGAGAAAGTGAAGAGAAATGATCACAACTCTACTTTTACCATTTCACAATGTCTTCCCAACTCACCTAAATCTTCTAAAATGTGTTTCCATCTGTTTCTCACTTCCCTTCGAATCTGCCGCAAGGAATAGATATCATAGTTGAGTTTTTGCCACTCCTGTAGGAAAATAAAAATTTGGTTTTATTTATACCTTTTTGGCCTAAATCTCTATCTCATTGCTAAACTTTGCGTTGCTTAAACAATGTGGTTCTCCACTTCCTTGATTGCCAAAGCACACTTACAAGAAGAGAAGGGGACGAATGAGATGGTGTCACCAGGAATAACATCAGCTAGCATATCTGGAGAATCTGAGCCAGGAGACAGAGCACATCACATAAATTAACTCACCCAAACCCTTCACATTACCTGTTCTATCAACTTCAGTGGTTTCAGCTGTAAAGTGAGTTAACATGGTAAATATTCTATTTATAATTGTTAGAGGTGTGCGCCCAGCAGTTCAGCCATGAATTGGGATGCCCATATCCCGTGTCAGAGTGCCTAGGTTCCATTACCAGCTGGACGGCTCCCAACTCCAGCTTCCTACTAATGCTCACCCTGGGAGGCAGCCAGTGATGGCTCAAGTACATGGGACACCTGGATTGAGTTCCTGGCTCCTGGATTCAGCCTGATCCAGGCCCACGTGTTGTGGGCATTTGGAGAGGGAACCAGTGAATGGTGGACTCTCTGTCTCTCTGCCTTTCAAATCAACACAAATTCCCCGTAGAAAGATTGTTATAGAAATTGAAGGTAAACAGAAGCACAATATCTGCACACAGTGAGCATCTAATAAAATCTATGTATAGTTAGAACCATTTTATATATGAAGAAACTAAGACCCAAAAGCCCTACTGATCAATATAATATCCAGCTAATAGATGTCAGAACTGGTATTTAAACCTGAGTCTCCCTCCAGAGGTCACAAGAAAACTGACATACTAAGCTCCTATGTCTCCCTTTGTTATCAGAATAAAGTAGACTTGGGGATACCACATTTCTTGATTCCTTGACAATATTCTTTCACCATAGATCAACAACACAATTATTTATTTGCATTTCTTTGATAAGATGATTCTTTCAAGAATTCCTCAGCACTATTTAATGGTTATCATTCTGAAATGTTCAGTATCAGGCTATGAGCAGTGGGCCATAATTTTAATCCCAAGAACTGAAATAATTTAGCAGTGTTAGAATTTTCATTGAGCTGGCGCCGTGGCTCACTAGGCTAATCCTCCGCCTTGCGGCGCTGGCACACCGGGTTCTAGTCCCGGTCGGGGCGCCAGATTCTGTCCCGGTTGCCCCTCTTCCAGGCCAGCTCTCTGCTGTGGCCAGGGAGTGCAGTCGAGGATGGCCCAAGTGCTTGGGCCCTGCACCCCATGGGAGACCAGGAGAAGTACCTGGCTCCTGCCATTGGATCACCGTGGTGCGCCGGCTGCAGCGCGCTGGCCACAGCGGCCATTGGAAGGTGAACCAACGGCAAAGGAAGACCTTTCTCTCTGTCTCTCTCTCTCACTGTCCACTCTACCTGTCAAAAAATAAAAATAAAAAAGAATTTTCATTGAGCTAAGTGTTCCTTTATAATGCTATACAATTTGTTTTTAAGGAGCCTTATCAACATATACCGGTCATTTTATTCAGTCAGTATACCTCTTCCTGTTTCTTAGAAAAGACATTAACTATCAACTGACATAAATCACAACTTAAAGTAATAACATTTTAAATGTTCAATTTAAGACTCAAGCTATTTGATATGTTAACTCCTGTAATTGAAAATATTTCAAGGATGTCATTATTTTCTAACTTCCTTCCATGACTTGTCTTACTCTTGCAAATCAACTTTCATGACTTGATAAGAAAAATCAAGTTGGCTGCCATTCATAAATGTTAACAGATACCACTTTGAAAAAAAAAAAAAGTTGGTAAAGTAAAATGTGTTTTGCTGCAACTGCATTTTAGATCTTGTATCTGAAGATATGCAATCAAAAGCACATGGATTTTCAGTTACATTATTAAAGTCAGGAGGCAGTGACTTTGCTAGTACTCTTATTATTTTGGATTTTTTATTAGTTGGTTTTTAAATTTTATTTAAGATATACAACTTCATGCATTTCATAAATACTAATTTAGGAACACAGTGATTCTCCCCATCCTACCCTTGCTTCCACCTGCACTCCCATCCTTTCCTCTTCCCTCTCCTATTCCCATTCTTATTTTTTACTACGATCTATTTTCAACTAACTTTATACCCATATAATCAGCCCTACACTATGTAAAGAGTTCAACATATAGCATGAAGAAAAAAACTGATATTCAATAGTCGAGACGAGGGCTGTTCAAAGTCATCACAGCTCAAAGTGTCAATTTCACTTCGACAGATTGCCTTTTAGGTACTCTATTAGTTATCACAGATCAGGGAGAACACAGGGTATTTATCCATTTGGGACTGACTTATTTCACTAAGTATAATTTTTTCCAGGTGAATCCATTTTGTTGCAAATGACAGGATTTCATTTTTTACAGCTGTGTAGTATTCCATGGCATACATATCCCATTTCTTTATCCAGTTTTCAGTTGACATATATTTGGGTTGATTCCACATCTTAGCTATTGTGAATTGAGCTGCAATAAGCACGGAGGTATGGATAACTCTTTCATATGCTGATTTCATTTCCCTTGGGTAAATTCCCAGGAGTGGGATGTCTGCGTCACATGGTGGGTCTACATTCAGATTTCTAAGGTATCTCCATACTGTGTTCCGTAATTGTTGAATCAGTTTATATTCCCACCAACAGAGGATTAGGGTACCTTTGTCCTTACATCCTTGCCAACACCGTAGTTTTGATTTTTCATTTCCTGATGGCTGGTGATCCTGGGCATTTTTTCATGTGTCTGTTGGCCATCTAAACTTCCTCTTTATAAAATGCCTTCAACTCCTTTGCCCATTTCTTAACTGGATTGTTTTGTTGTTGCTGAGTTTCTTGACCTCATTATGTATTCCAGATATTAATCCTTTATCAGCTGCATAGTTTGTAAATAATTTCTCCCATTCTGAAGGCTGCTCCTTCACCTTGCTGAGTATTTCTTTTGTAGTGCAGAAGCTTCTGAAATTAATGTAACCCCATTTGTCAATTTTGGCTTTGATTGCATGTGCTTCGGGGGTATTTTCCAAGAACTCTTTGCCTATGCCAATTTCTTGCAGTGTTTCCCCAATGTTCTCTAATAATTTGATGGTATTAGGTTTATTTATGTCTTTGATCCATTTTTAGTGGATTTCTGTGTAAGGTGTAAGGAATGGGTCTTTCTTCATACTTCTGCATGTGGAGATCCAGTTTTCCCAGCACCATTTGTTGAAGACACTGTCCTTGATCCAGGGATTGGTTTTAGCCTTTTGCCAAATATAAGTTGGTTGTAAACATATGGACTGATTTCTGGAGTTTCTGTTCTGTTCCACTGATCTATCCATCTGTTTCTGTGCCAGTATCAGGCTGTTTTGATTATAACTGCCCTGTAGTACATCTTAAAATCTGTATTATGATGCCTCCTGCCTTGTTTATATTGTATAAGATTGCTTTAGCTATTCAGGATCTCTTGTGTTTCCATATGAATTTTAACATTTTTTTCTATATTTGAGAAGAATGTCCTGGGTATTTGGATTGGTATCACATGGAATCTGTATATTGCTTTCAGTAGTATGGACATTTTGGTGACATTGATTCTTCCAATCCATGAACACAGAAGATTTTTCCTTTTTTGTGTGTCTTATATTTCTTTCTTTAATGTTTTGTAATTTTCATTATAGAGATCCTTGATATCCTTGGTTAAATTTATTCCAAGGTATTTAATTTTTTGTAGCTATTGTGAATGGGATTCACCTTAGAAGTTCTTCCTCAGCCGTAGCACTGTCTGTGTATACAACTCTATTGATTTTTGTGTTAATTTTATATCCTGCCACTTTACCAAATCCTTCTATGAGTTCCAATAATCTCTCAGTGGAGTTTTTTGGATCCCATATATATATATATATACATATATATATACATATATATATATAGAATCATGTCATCTGCAAATAGGAATAGTTGGACTTCCTCCTTCACAATTTGTATCCCTTTGATTTCTTTTTCTTTCCTAATGGCTCTGGCTAAAACTTCCAGGACTATATTGAATAGCAATGGTGAGAGTCATCATCCTTGTCTAGTTCCAGACCTTAATGAAAATGCTTCCAATTATTCCCCATTTAATAGGATGCTGGCCATGTCATAAGTTGCCTTGATTGTGTTGAAGAATGTTCCTTCTATACCCAATTTGCTTAAGGTTTTCATTATGAAAGGATGTTGTATTTTTAACAAATGCTTTCTCTGCATCTATTGAGATAATCACATGGTTTTGTTTCTTCTGTTTGTTAATGTGCTGTATCATATTTATTTGTGTGCATATGTTGAACCATCCCTGTATACCAGGGATAAATACCATTTGGTCCAGGTGAATTATCTTTGTTACGTTGCTGGATTCACTTTGCTAGCATTTTGTCGAGGATTGTTGCATCTATGTTTATCAGGGAAATTGGTCTGTAGTTGCCACTCTCTGGTGTATCTTTTTCAGGCTTAGGAATTAAGGTGATTCTAGTTTAATAGAATGAGTTTGGGGTGATTCCATCCCTTTCAATTGTTTTGAATAGCTTGCGAAGAATTGCAATTAGTTATTCTTTAACTGTCTGGTAGAATTCAACAGTGAAATCGTCCAGTCCTGCGCTTTTCTTCATTGGGAGGGTCTTTATTACTGATTCAATTTTTGTCTTGGTTATTGGTCTGTTTAGGTTTTCTATGTCTTCATGGCTCAAATTAGGTACGTTGTATGGGTCCAGGAATCTATCCATTTCTTTTAGGTTTCCTAGTTTGTTGGCCTACAGCTCTTTGTAGTTATTCCTGATAGTGTTTTTTTTTTAATTTCTATGGTATCTGTTGTTACATTTATCTATAATTTTATTAATTTATATATTTTTATTAATTTATATAATTAATAAAATTTTCATTTTTTTCTGGATTAGTTGCTCCAATGTTGCATCAAGTTTATCTTTTCAATAAACCAGCTCTTCATTTCACTGATCTTTTGTATTTTCT